AAAAGATTTATTACAAAATTTTTACTTTCCATAGCCACGTAAACGTAAATAAGCCACATTAAAGCTTCTGACTTAGCCACGATAAATTTGCGCACTCGCCTAACTTAGGAGCACATCCATAGAAATAAAGTTCGCTCAATGATTCAGTTATGTAAATATAAGTTTAATGGCGATGCAACATTCATTAAAAAAAAAAAATGCCACGCAATGCTATGCTAGACAAAGCCTTCTCTATTGCCAAAGGGCAATGTCACAGATAAGGTCATCTATCATGTGAATGAGGTTATTTTAATGGTCGATACTTTCTATCATCTTTTTAGACTAATGGCAAAATGTACCGAATCTATTCTCTTTGCAGAGAAAATTTAGTTTATGACAAGATAATCTTTGTCGTTTTGCTGCCCGTGGAGAACGCCCATAAAAACATAACAATTATACCACAAATACTAGTAAGAAACATAATCAATTGATTGATCGATCAAAGATTCATGATTTTTATAGAAGAATCGTGGAATAATTTTGACGGATAGATCAAGGGATGCAATTCTTCGGACCGCCAAGTAGAATCAACTTTCTCGGCGGCATGGCCGTGCTGATATCTTCGATGATCGGCCCGGGACTCGTAACAAGTAAGCTATATTCATGTGACCGATGTAAAGGATGTTGTCCGATATTAACCATTATGAATCGTCTTGATAGTACCGTCAGTGTTCCAAACTGCCGGATTCGTAACGTCTTTAACAATGTTTATAGTCGCGGTATTTCTGTCCGCATCATCAGCATTATTACTATGTGAATCTATAAGCTCAATACCTGGCAACGAGGGATTTTCGGTTTTTATATCTTTCCTTCCTTAACTTTCATTTTTGACATTTTTTCTTTTTTACTCACGCGCAAAGCTTTCATTTGATCAACTAGAACAAAATTGAATATACGAAACTCTCCCAGGCCTTAATACCCAATAAATTCGTTCAAGCACTAGTCCATTTCTTCCTCTACGTATCCCTAGAATCAATAATAATCGCCTCCATCGTGCTTTCCTCACAGTCATTGGATAGTCTATTTGTTATTTTATTTGGCACTTCATGCGGACTCGGCGTTTCTCCTGACTTTGGTTGGATATGCACGCAAAGTTTAGGCAGCGGAAGTGGACCTTTTGGTGATAAATGGATGATTATTACTTTGGGATTGGCGGTAGGTAAATTCAAGTGGGATTGACCTTTGGAAGTGCGCATGTGTGACGCGATGGTTTGCGTTTTACAGGCAACATTGCTGATCGTAATTCCAATGGCATGGATGAATCTCTCTAACAATGCCAAAATACAGATTGGTATGCAAATTTCAAAAATATTTTTATTTTTACAAAAAATAAAATTATGAAAATAAATGACGATAATTTAATTTCCCACATTCCATCCCAGCATCACTTTTCACCTTGGTTATTATCGTGATAACATGGATCGCAACGACGGTTCGTAAACAATTAAAATATTATTGATTAAATAATACTGTTAGGTTATTCATCTTACTGATTGTTATTTTCAACAATAGTAAGTATTTTCTATCATCTGATTAAGGGATTCGAAAATCATATGAAACCTTGTAAATGAAAGAAAAAGACCTGTTACAAGTGAGTCGGCTCAGAAAAGCAAAAAAAGAAATCTCGACAGACAATGCAAGTACCTCAAACGGAAATACCCAGACCACGAACTAATCAGGTCTCGACTGGAAACGCAAAGTTCTCACGCCCATTTGGAACAATCGTTAGGAAGGATCGGTTCTGCAGATTTGCGTTCGACGGATTCTTGGCAAGAACAGTACAAAGATCGTGGCACTCGGTGAACCTATCGAGGAACTATTCTCAATCGTTAATGTCTTTTCGACAAGATACAATGGACTCAGATCAGCCGGGAATCGAAAACGACGAAGAGAGTAAAAACACGAAAGATACAAGATACTGATTTACTCAACGTCCAGAGAAAGAAAATGGATGGGAGCTGTGAGATGGACGTACAACACGGTTCTTAAGATGGTGCAGGACGATGGAACCACCGACATGAGCGTCATATGAAGGCACTACCTGAATGATGAGTGCCTTAAAACTGAAGAACTCCTCTGGATAAGAGAAACCCCTAGAATGTACGTTCGTACGCGATTCTATAATTGATGGGCTCATACGCATACATAACAAACTGCACATTCCTAAAGAATATTATCACCTCAGAACGACCATCAAAATATTAAACAACACGATTAACATAAAATCACCTGGTCAAGATGATTTTCGGGGAAAGGTAATCTCGCTTGATCCAGGTGTTCGCACGTTTATAACTCGTTATAATCCCGACGATAAATCAATCGAGTGGGATAACGGTGATTTTAGAAGATCTTGCTCTGGGAAGAACAAGAGATTTTGGTTGACAAAAAGATGTTATAAATTATACAACGAATCTGTAATTGGTTCGATGAGTGCCCAGGATTCTTTTGAAGAATAAGCAAATGGTTCGATCAAAGACAGCTCGTTGGATGCTGAACTGACACATTTCAGATTTCGAATGTTTCTTTTACGCAAGATAGGAGAATACAAGTACTGCAAGGTTCTTGAGTGCACCGAGGAATATACTTCTACGATGTGTGAGCATTGCGGACAAATTAATGACAATATGAGTGGTTCCAAGACTTTTCGATGCGACTCGTGTGAGATTGAGATGTATCTGGACACAGTATTGTGCCAGCAAATATCTTGATCAAACAGTTGACGGAGGGTCTGATTTTGGCCCGACTTTGGGACTAGAACCTACATGGATACGATATACATAGTAAAAGACTAACTTTGTTTATTCATATTGGATACAATTTCAAGGATACATCACGGATTGGACCCAAGTAGGATACCACTCATTGGAGAAGATCAAAGTCAAGTTGTTGGGGCGGTGTTATTTAATTATGGTTTCGTTACTTCGGTACCAAGTGTCGTTAGCGAGTTGGTTTGTATTACAAATTTTTTTTCGAACTTATTATTGTAATTTTTTTCCACACGCTTTCATAAACTCTCCGGTCATCATCCAGAAGAAAGATGTCTCTATCAAAAGATTGGTATGGAGTGCCGTCCTCATCACCACCACTTTCTACCTCTTACTGGGAATCTTTGGCGCGGCCTCCTATAAAATCGAGACATCCACCAACATCATTGCCATTATTCGAAAAGTTGAGCTGGAAAATAGTGTTGCTGAAGTGGCAACCTATCTATTTCCATTTTTACTGCTGTTCAGCATACCCGTGTATGCGATTGTACTCAGGTACAATTTGATGAGGTCTGGGTTGAGTAAGAGCGGTATGCATTTTACAATATCTTGTTGACCTAGTTATGTTTTCCCTTTTATTCAACATATTCTCCTTCGACATTTTTCACATTTAGAAAATAAGGCTATATTATTTGTTCTCTTCCCTTGGATTCTGGTAATTCCGCTTCAGACTGGATATTGGTTGAACGTGTTTACAAATTGGACCGCATTAATCTTCATAGGTGGTTCAAATTTCATCATACCTTTTCTGTTATATATTCTGAGTCAAAGACAAGGTGTGTTATAGTGACATAGTACATTGCTTTAATTTATTTTATCTCATTTTTTTTTATTTATTTGCTGTTGGTCTTGTGTAGATGCGTACCCGCCCGAACTCCCTATCTCACCCCTCACAAAAGTCTTTTCTATAGGCGATGAGGAGGATGAGTTCGCGGAGGCAAAACCATTCAGAGCCTTCTCGTGCTGTGAGAAGAGACAGACGAGGAAGGAAAAACATGGGAGTGAAAGTAAGGGTAAGGTTGATGATGGTGAAGAGTACGGATGGAGTTGGGGCCTGGTGACAGCATGGACAGCGAGCATGGTGAGTTTATTGATGATAGGCGCAATCATCGTGTACAATCTCCTGTCGCTTTTAAAACTCGAGTCATTATAAATTATTTAAAACATATATGTGAATTGTTCAGGAAAAATAATTTTATTAATAAAATTTTTCTTGCAAATAATGTTGATTTTTAAACAAAAACAACACCTAGAAAGTTTATTTGCATTGTAACTAATCTTTCTGATTAAGAACAGGATATTAATCTCGTAACGTACTTTTCCTTTGCCGATTAATTTAACAATTTAACGTTAAATGCCGTTAAATGCACGTGTTCTCCTTTCAGTGCAATGGCCGTGGCCAAGTAAACTCATTATTTATGCGTTTAACTAACTTCTTTAGTGTTTTATTGCGGTTTTGATCAAAATTTGTTGTAGTCATCGTCATTTACAAAATAAAAATATATAAAATACAAAAACAAATAAAAAAATAATCAGACAATCTTACAATTATGATGTGTACTCCAACCATAATTTATCCTTGATATCCAAATCGTAAATCTGAACATTCATCGTGATGACACACGTGATTGTATGCCAATAGATTGACACTTGACTCTGGAACATCTAGTAAAGCATCGGGCGTAGCCCATTTGACGATAAGTTTCTTGATGAATTCTGGAGACGACCTAGGGTAAAGGGATAGGAAGTATGCACTTAATCCTGCCACATGTGGAGATGCCATGGAAGTTCCCGAGAGGGAGATGTATGATGTGGGTAACGAGTTCCACGAAGATTTTATATCTACACCCTGAAAACAAAAATTTGTGTAAATTCATTCTTAGAAACATGCTTTATAAAGCGACTCGGGAAAAGCGATTTCTTACGGGTGCAAAGACGTCAACACAGGGACCGTAATTTGAAAACCAAGCAAAATCATCAGAGATTGTGGTGGCTCCAACAGTGGTGGCTCCTTCAGCTGAGGCAGGGGATGAATTACACGCATCCGCGCGTTCGTTACCCGCGGCTACAACAACGCTAATACCAGCGTCGTTTGCCTGACCATGATAAAGAATACGGTTGGTTCATTCAAAATTAAGGAGTGCGAAAATGAATCATCACACCATACCTCATTGGTAGCCACATTAATTATTTTACTATACCCTCCACCCAAACTCATATTTATGACGGAACCCGTGAAATTAGAGTTTTGATCTTCAACTTGTTCATTATGCTTCACAACGGCAAATTCTATGCCGAGCAAGACATCCGACCAAGTACCTCTACCATTTGAATCCAAGACCTTAACGGCCACAATTTTTGCATCCTTGGCAACACCAACGTGTTTTCCAGCAATAATTCCGGCGACATGGGTGCCTAATAATAAACAAAACCTGCAGTTCATTAATGGGAAAACATCTCTCAACATACTTTGTCGTTTTCGTACCATGACCATCTCCATCAAACTCGGTCGGGTCGCCGGACGAGGTTGTTTTACCCCACGAAGCACGACCCTCAAACTCAACATGATCAATCCTGACTCCGGTATCAATAACGTAAACGGTTACACCTTCACCGGTGTCATATTCGAAATGGTAAGTGTGTCTGTGATCCTCGTCCCAATCGTAACGATGTGAGATACGAGAAATGCCCCAGGGTGCATGCTCTTGAGTATCAATGGCAAATACGTATTGATCTTGTTCAACATATTCCACCTGTACATTGTTAGCGTTGCAGAGACACGAAAAGCATGAGCTATATATAGTATTGGTGTGCATGGTTGCATTTACAACATCATATCAATACCTTACCTCGTTTAAGTGTCTGATGAAGTTCAATATGTCATAAGAAAATCTTCCGGAATATCCTTTTAGCTTTCCAATACCAAAACTTTGCCGAATACCGTAATTTTCGTGTGCGTGTGCCATTTTCTTCAAGATTAAATTATTGACCCGAGCAAGGTGACCTTCGACTACTGCAGGATCGACATGCTCCTTGAAAACTACGATATACTGCTCGGGAATTGCATCTGTACTTTGGGAAGAAAGCAGGGGAGCTATTGTACCCTCATGTTCGTCAGAGGAATAGGGCGCGGCAAATATCGCAGACACAAAGAGTGTGATGATTAAAATTAATTCATTTAAATTCTTCATCACGATTATTCCTGCGATTTGGTATGAAAATTTTTTCAGAATCGAAACAAAGGATGTTTGGTGACCTTATATTTAGAGTCACAAATAAAGGCGCCAACGTCGTGATTTGGTTAAGTTACCTATGTCCAATGCATCCGATTTTTTTTGGTAAGATCGCTCGTAATTAAGCTCAAGTGTAAAAACAAGAGTGCTGCAAACGCTGAAATTAACCTAAAAAAATATGTGATTAACAACAATTCTTTCTTTTTTGATTACAATTATTTGTTTTTATCAAATAACTCAATGATTTCAAGTTTGGATTGCAGTATCAAGAAATTGTAGTAACTTTAATCTTAAATAAAATTTCGAGCAGTTTGATCATTTTCCAAATCGTTAAAATAAAAAAATCGATTTTTTTTTTTAAAAAAAAATTAAGATTGAAAAAAAACTTTTTAATTAAAGTTGACCTTTATTAAAATATCATTTTTCTTTTTTTATTCGATTCATTTATCAAATCTTATTTTTTAAAAAGACTGACATATATATTTACTGTCTAATAAAAATTACCTTGTTTAAACGGGAAGTTAAACAATTAAAAAAGAATTTAAAAAAATTTTTTGATAAAATCAAAATATTCAATTAGAATAATGAAAATAATCGTAAGTAATATTATTCATTAGATATTAAAATTATATAAATTTGCAAATACATCTATATAACAAATTATGTAAGTAAAGTATAACTTGGTTACGTAATTTAATAAAAGGATCTAAAATTAAATAAAACAATACATTCGAAATTAAAAAAAACCCGACATTCAAAATTAAAATAAAATTTTGAAATTCATTTTAGCGATATTTAAAATCTTGATTTAATTTCAATATATTTTTTATTAAATTATAAAATTGATATAATTGTACTCTTTTTCTTTTTAAATAACATAATAGGATATTTTAGATTTTATTAAAAAAAATAACTACATCATGAATAATTATTATTTAATGTAATTGTATAAAATATCATTAATAATTTTTTTTTCAGCCGAAAGGCGTTAGTAGCAAATGTATAATCAATAATTTTTTTTATTATAAAAATTTTTAAAAAACTATAGTAATGACTTGCAAAAAATAATTATTTGAATTTTGTAAGTAAATAGATATTAAAGGAAACAGCTGTTTTCATTTTTAATAAAAAAATTAATTGATATTAATATTAATGTTAATTAAAAACTTTTTTTCAAAAATATATATTTGTCAAAAAAATTATTATAAAAAGAAACATAAAAATTTTTTATAAAAAACTATTTAATTTATTTTTTTTATTAAATAATTTACATTTAATTATATATACTACATGTATATTAAAAGTTTATTTAAGTTATAATATTTAATATTATAAATATATTATAAATAAAGTAATAACATAATATAATATAATACTGTATATATAAAAAATAATGACAAGAAAATTTTTTAATAATTGAAATTTTTACAATTATTAAATAAAATTTTTTAATCAAAAATTTATAATACTTATATTTATATTTTCTTTAAAAAATTATTTAATTTATTAATTGTTTTTGTTTTCTTTTTAAAACCTTTTATTCAAAAAGTAAAAACAATATAAATATAAATAAATTATTTTTTTTTAAACAATAAGTAAATAGAAATTAAAAAGTACAATATAAAAATTTTGTTATAAATTAAAATATTAAATCAAATAATAAAATAATTAATAAAGTAATCTTAAATAAAATTATTTTATAAACATTAATTATATTATATTTAAATTTCTTATTAATTTTTTTAATAATTTTTGTTAAGTTATAAATAAAAATATAATTACTATTATTTTTTTTACAATATATTATATATAAAAAGTTTATTCTAAAATTATTCAAAAAATTAAAAATATATATTAATTGATAAATTTTTAAATATTTAATCAAATTTAACAAAACATATATTATTTAAAAACTTTTATTACAAAAAATTAAATAGAAATAAAGTTATATAATTATAATTACTGATTGTTAAGTTATAATTGTTTTTATTAATTTTAAAATAATTATAACTAAACAATCAGTAATTATAATTATACAACTTTACTACTGTAAGAGGAATCAAAAAAATTAGATAGATTCAACATATGTCATCCTCGCCCAATTGGGGTTTAATTGGGGCTTGAGGGATTTTTGGGA